ATCTTTTCCTTGTATCCTGTTCTCTTCATTCTCCCTTGCTCCCGAAGGGATGAGACCAGTGGAGTATCTTATATCTTAGATGGCTGCTCACAGGCTTTTAAGACCCCAGACGTTACTCACCAAGGTAGAATATAGAACACTGTCTTTATAAACGTGTTATGCCAATTGAGCTAGACGTTCCCCGAGACCATGTTCCCCACAGCCCTCCACCCAGCAATTCAGTCCCTCAGGGAGTTTGAATGTGTCTATGGAGCTTCCATGACCTTTCCTTGTACAAGTTGTGCTGGCTTCCCCAATGTTGTGTACTATCGTACCCTTCACAATTTTATGTAATTTTAAATAAATATTCAGGAATCGAAAATACTGGAGGCTTTTTTAGATGGCTCAGAAATCAAAAATGTTGGAGGCTCTTTTAGATGGCTAAGGCATACGTGTCCTACTAGGACTGTTAAACAGTCTTATTGACAAAATTTTTCTATTAGAGAATTTCTGGTACACTTACATTGACGGAATATGATGATAACTGTGAAATAAGATTCATTGTTCATATTGAGAATGCCTTTAGAAAGTAAATATTTTCTTAAGAACAGATTCAAGTAGCCCATACACATTAATAACTGTGCTTGTCAAGATATTCAAAGAATGACCAATTAATTCTACAATTAAAAAATTGATATTTAAGTAGAGAAGCCCCTTTGATTCTTTCACAAATTCCTTACTTTATTTGCTAAAGTTAAACAACTTTCAGACACCTCATCTTACTACCATCTCACTTGTTAAAAAAAATGAAATTATTCAGAATACAGAAAGGAAGACATGATGCTGATAAATTATTTAACATTTTTATTCTAATACTGTTTTCTGCTATTTTCCATTGTCATGTGTATATTTCTTTTTATGACAACATCTTTATTAATGATAAACAATTTTTCAAACTTTCAACAAATTTGTTTATATATTGAATCTAAATTTGCTATTTTAAAACCAAAATTTACGTTACATATTTTTTGTTGTTGTTTATTTTTTTTGTTTTGTGGAGCTGAATGAAAGAAGACTTAAGTGTGCCAAAACGTGATTTGTGGTTCAGACATGATTTATACTAGAACCACCAACCATTTTGGAGGGGAAGTCTTCAGAATAGCCCTGGCATCTCCCTTCTGTCCTAAACAAGTGATAGCCAACATGTTTTTTTAAAGTAACAGACCATTTAGTTTTGTTTCTTTTTTGTTTTGCAAAGATTTTTAGAATTTGCTTGAGATATCATGGGATTGTCACTAAATCTTTTATGTAAACACTCAAAAAAGTGTGACTCATGAGAAATGAGCGTTGTTGGTATTTCTATAACTTGATAAGGCAGACTGGCTCATACAAGACAGTAAGAGGCTAATTTACCAGTCCTAGGATCAGCATTAATTAACTGTGTGACCTTCATTGGCAGACACATCGGTTTCCTTATTTAAAAACTATCAGGGGCTCCTCAGTTTTCAGATTTAATTTTATTTTTACTCAAACGTGTCCATACTTGTCAAAGCTATCCTGAATCTTCTGAACCTTTGAAGTTCCATCCGTGCCTACATACATGTTTCAGTATGAAATAAAAACCTGATCATTATTGATCTATAGTTTCTACATGTATATATTGTAAAACTTCATTGAAAATATTAGAAAACCATACTAAGGTTAAACCTGCTGTTTCTCATTAACTCTTCAGATTCAAATTCTTAAAAATTGCAGAGTAATTTTGACTCAAAATGAATAAAACATAGCTCCTGCCTTATTAGGACACTTGGGTTGACAGATTTAAATCAAACCTCAACACTCATTCAAATTTCAAACTAATAGATGGAGACAAGTGTCAAGGTAATACATAATGCTCGTATATAATTTCATGAGACCTCTTAGCTTTCATTTATTTCAGCTATTAAACAATCACAAGATAAACAGATGATGGTATATTGAACTTATTTTGTGATCTCTTGATAATATGAAAACTTTAATACACAGTGCAAAATAAACCACTTGGAATACTCTATTTTCACAGGCTGATTGCTAACAAAATACAAGTTTCTTTTAACTGCAGATGCATTCCTCTTTTGCTTTAGAGGTTTAAATATCGGTTTATTCAGCCTGTTTAATTTTTGGAGGGGTAAATGTTTAGACCAGATCTCACCAGGAAATTGTATAGTATCTGTTATTTAGAAAGGCTAAAAGATAAAGGATGTTTTCAGAATTCTATGTACATCCCCTGAGATTGTTGTTGTTGCCATGTTTATTATAGGCTGGCGAGGTAAATATTGGAAACCCTGGTGGCTTAGTGTTTAAAAGCTACAGCTGCTAACCAAAAGGTTGGCAGTTTGAATCCACCAGGCACTCCTTGGAAGCTCTATGGGGCAGTTCTACCCTGTAGGTTGCTATGAGTTGGAATCGACTCGACAGCAATGGGTTTGGTCTTTTTTTGGGTAGGTAAATATATCTGGAAAACAGAATGTACATTTTTTTCCCCATTATTAAACTGTTGTTTAAAAAACAACCATTTTTTTCCTTTTCACTGAAGATTTATTGCATTTCCTAAATATTGTAGAAATTGAGCTTAATAGCTTTGATACCACTCAGTCAAATTTTCCCTTTTTTCCAAATAAAATATGAAAATGTATTCTACTAGAAAGGAAATAATTGGAAAAATAAATATCCTGTTTTTACAGCTTTATTGAAGTATCATTTATGTATAATAAATTGCCTGTATACAAATTGTAAAATATGATCAATTTAGACATATACCCACAAACATCTAGAGAAACATTTTCATCACCCCTAAGAGTTTCCTCAAGCACCTTTGTAATCCATTCATGCTTTCAACTTCATCTCTAGACAACCATTTATCTAATTTCTCTTATAATTTAAATTGCATTGTCAAGAGTTCCATATACATGAAATCATACAGGATTATCATTATTATTATTTTTGGCTGAACTCTTTCAGTCACCATAAAATGATTTTAATATTCATAGATGTTATGTCAATCAATGATTTGTTCCTGTTTATAATGCTGAGTAAAAGTCTATTGTATGAATATAAGAGTTTTTCTAGTCACCTATTAAGGAACATTTCAGTGTTTTCAGATTTGGATTTTTTTTTTAAGTTTGTGAACATTTTTAACATTGCGTGGACATATTTTCTTTTCTCTGGAATAAACACTTATCTTTTTATTACTTAAAGTAGATTTTTGAAGAGCAAAGTACTTTAATTTTGCTGAAGTCCAATGTATCAGATTTCCTTTTTATATTTCATACTTTTTGGGCTTTATCAAAGAAATCATTACCTAACCTAAGGCCACAATTTTTTTTTTCTTTTTTAATATTTTATAGATTCAGTTTTCCTTTACTGTGATTGATTTTGACTTAACTTTCATGGAGTCAGTGTTCCTTATTTTTCCATACATATATCTAGTTGACCCACCACTACTTATTGAAAACTCTTTTCTTTTTATATCTAAGGATTTGCCAATATTGTTGATCTTTTCAAAGAAATAGCTTTTGACTTTGTTCATTCATTTTCTCTAAGTTTTTTATTTTGTTGGTTCCTGCTTTTTTCTCCATTGTTTCCTTTATTGTATTTACTTTGGTCTTTAGTTTCAAGAATCTTAATGTGGAATCTAAGGTCATTTATTTTAGATATTGGTTCTCTTCTAATATAAGCATATAAACTATAAATTTGTATCTTTCAACATATTTAGACAGTTTTCAGCCTTTTTTTT